TTGAATCTTACGATCATGACAAATATTGAATCTCGCCTTAAGTTTTACGTAATCTTAAAAATACCGTTAAAAGTCAGTGGCAAATCTTCTTCTGTAACAAGTTTTATAAGATTATTATTCATGATCTATTCAGTTCAAATTTTAATAGATGATCTTGTAAAAAATCTCTATGAAAATTATACCACAAAAGTTGAAACAATTATAAAATGATTTATTAAAGTTTTTTTTTGAAACTTAATGTGAAAGGTCTTGTTAAAAGAATGATTAAACATATGACATAAAGTCAGTTTTAGAAAAGAAACATCAATCATTCTTTCGACAAAAAACCATTATTATTAAACACTTGACTATGTAATGATACTCTTCATGGTTTGATAAACTCACGTTGCTGGCTGGCTGTTTGTCTAAAAACGTTTGTTAATTAAACGTTCAGCATTGTTTTTAGTTAAAAGTTAGTAAAAATTGATAACAAGTTTTACTAAATATGGTTAAAGAATATTGCTATAAAATGAAGGGTATTTAATGGTTGTGATTAAAGACAACTCCTTTAAAATTTATTAAAATTTTATAGATTTATTTACATTTACATTTTTAATAGCTTGTATGTTTGAATATTGAATATGCATGTTTTGGTTTTTCTAGCGATTTTTTTTTTTTTTTTTTTTTGCTTTTGCCTCAATCATAAATCTTTTAACTATTTCTCAAAATACTAAGAACTGTCAATTAAAGTTCAATTTACGCAATCAAATATTTTTTTTTTTTTTTGGGTTGTTTTGCAGCAGTGGTCAAAGTTTTAAAAATACTGTTAAGAACTAAGCCCACGCTGGGAAAATAGACACTAAAATCCCCCCCAAAAGATTTGAATAATATTAAGCAATTGTCAATTCGTGCAGTTTGTTTAGCCAGCAATGTTTTGACTTAAAAATTGCTACAATTTTTTTTCTGTAAACGATATCTAATGCGGAAAATTTCGTACATATATTACTTTTATTCAAAATAAGCATTATCTCTTATAAAAAACAGAAACAAATTTAACAAAATTACACAAAATTTTTATGTTCAAAAGTACTATTATTAGGACTTTCGCTTTTAAATACTTTTCTGTCTACAAACCCATTTTTTTGTTTTTGCAATTGTCATTTTGAAAAATGACCACCCACACTAGATAGACAAATAAATAACTAACCATACACCCACTGCTACCTAGTTTTTCCATCGAAAAAAAAAAAACTAACATGGTAACTATAACTCTGTCTATAGGGTCACAAGTATGCCAAAAACAAAAACAAACAACCGCAAAATATTGGCAACAATTCCCTTTTTGTGACTGCGAGACTGAGTCAAAGTCTAAAGTAAAATGTATAATATTTACATTTTATGATTTGCCATTACTAACACACAATAAGTGAGTGGACAACTGACTACCGGTTTATGGGATAATATTTAAATTTTTGTTGTAAAGCCGAAATGTTCAACCTTAGGGGCCTGGGCATAAAATAGTCAAGGTATGAAAAATATCTCGTTAGGTTGATCTCTTTAGAGATAGTCGAGAGATAGAAGAGACTAAAAGAGAGAGAGAGAGAAGAAGATTATAAAGATTACGTCCAGCCTAGTGAGAATTTGTAGTTCACACCCATTATAACCGGATTCACAAATGCAATAAGTTGTTATAAATTAACATTCGATAGATCAGAGAGATCGTTGAAGTAGGTCGACCCTAAAGTTCAGTTTCGATCCGTTTCTAGTGTTGGACAGTTAGAGAGAAGATGTACTACCATCTTCATACTCATTCTGACAACCTCTGCAGAAGTCATTATATAGAAGATCAATGCGTCTAGCATGGTTACCAAATTAGCAGAGACAGATAGATCGTTGAAGTAGGTCGACCCTTAAGTTCGGTTTCGATCCGTTTCTAGTGTTGGACAGTTAGAGAGAAGATGGACCACCATCTTCATACTCATTCTGACAACCTCTGCAGAAGTCATTATATAGAAGATCAATGCGTCTAGCATGGTTAGCAAATTAGCAGAGACCACTAATGATCGATACCAGATTACGTGGTTGTAGTCTATGAAGACCGAGGAGATAGGTAGTTCTACATAGGTCCATATGAGTCCTCAAAGCTCTAGCGATCGAGCAAGTGTACTAACTCGATCTACGGACCTAAGCATTGGATTAACGAATGTTTAGACAGATCATAGAGGCAATGGTACTCCACAGAACTAGTCTATTTCCAGTTCACTTAGCATGGTTCTCACCAAAGTGTAGGCAATGTTATTGCGATATGTAGTTCCGTGTCCTTTGACCTATAATAAGGGTAATGTTTGAACGTCTTTTCATCTCACTGAGAGACATGTGGCATTCATGGTCAGATGTTGAAAACACGTCAAAAAGCTTGATTATCGGTATAAATTCTGATATTTCTGTTAGATATTCGATAGTTAAAGTTAAACTGCAAGCCCTCATTTGCAGACTATATTCCTTCAAGTCTTGCAAGACATAAAGTACAAGTCTAGAAAGTCTCAGCAAGTTTGCATTCGCAGCTCTTTCTGCGTTCCATTTCAGAATAATCCGACAAGTTTTGCAAGACGTAAAAGTTCTAAGCATCCATCCAGAAGTCATAGGAATATATGTTGAAATACATCAATAAATCGTTCGATCTTTATGTCTAAGATGAACACCTTTAGGTCAGTTAACAGTTTTCACGAATATCTAAATGACCCCGGTTTTCAAAAGAGTACAAGTCTAGAAAGTCTCAGCAAGTTTGCATTACATTTCGTAGCTCTTTCTGCCAGTGAAAATATTCACCTTTCTGAAACACCTTAGTGCTCCGATACACAAACGTGTACAACTGTTAAACGTCTCGCCAAAAGTTCCAAAAGCCTAACCATTTATTGGATACGTATTTCTAATCTGATTTCTTAAGTGAAATGAGGTTTTCGGGTGAAGCTTAACAATCCTCATCACATAAGCTGCGTTCCGAACTTCCAATTTACTGAAATTGTGCCCGTACTCCATTAGGTCCAGTTACGATAGTTACTATTAAACCAACCTCAGACTTTCTATCACTAAGGGGACTTCACTCCATACGATTTTAGTAGTTCTATCCCCCTTTCATTATCCCATTTGGTTGATTTGTTTTAAATCCGCTATCGGTTCTGCTTTTGTAGGATTTACTGCTTCAAGTTTTCTATCCTTTAATAGATCTTTCGTTACTAGACGCGAGTGGCCTGGTACCCATAGCATACAGAGGTTACTAGCGGAAGAAAAGTTGGTTCTGAAAGCGCGTGTGTCATAAATGAAATGTGATTCCATTTCAGGAGGTTTTCACTGATCAGTATCTAACTGCCAGTTAGCCAGAAAAGTTATTTATTGCGTTCTATTACAAGTCATTTCAGGAACTTTACTCATCCTTTTCCAAAACTTTACCAACTCGTACTTTGGTTTAACTGTGTACATTAGAGATCTCCAAGATTCCTTCTCTGCAAGGGAGGATACAGGCCATTGTTGCCCTTTATTTGAGCAAACCCATTCATGGCTTTCGTTCTAGTGTTCCAGTGTCTAATGAAATGTATCGGAAAGATACAGATAAAAAGCGATTGCTTGGGATGGTCTAGATTTCTTCTAGTTCGCAGCATAATTCGCAAATCATTATCATCATCTTTGATTGCTCGGAATCTCACATGTATTAGTTATGCAGTCAGTTATTTGGTACATAGTTCTTGGAATCTTTGCAGCTTAAGCTTTCGATAAATTCTCAATATTCTCCTTCTTCAACATTCTTTCTCTGGTATCGATGAAAGTCTCCTCTCGAACGTTCTATGAATTTTAATATGAAAGTCTGCCGAGATCATACCTTTGACTTGAACATCGTTCTTGGAATCTTTGGCTACTTAAGTTTCCGATACACTCTCAATATTCTCCTTCTTCACCATTCTTTCTCTGGTATCGATGAAAGTCTCCACTCGAACGTTCTATGAACTCTTAATATGAAAGTCTGCCGAGATTCATAACTTTGACTTAAACTTTAGTCATCAAGTTTGTTATTCAAAACATCGTTCTTGGAATCTTTGGCTACTTAAGTTTCCGATACACTCTCAATATCTTCCTACTTCGATATTCTTTCTCTGGAAGCGATGAAAGTTTCCACTGGAACGTTTTATGAACTCTTAATATGAAAGTCTGCCGAGATTCATTCCCTTGAAACTTTGTCATCAAGTTTGTTATTCTGTACATCGTTCTTGGAATCTTTCTCTGGAACGTTCTAGAACTCGAGATTTATACCTTTGACTTGAGCTTTATCATCTAGTTTGTTATTCGATACATTGTTCTTGGAATCTTTGCCAACTTAAGGTTCCAATAAATTCTCAATATTCTCCTTCTTCGACATTCTTTTTCCAGAACCGATGAAAGTCTCCATTCGAATGTTCTATAAACTCTTAATATGAAGGTCTGCCTAGATTAATACCTTAGACTTGAGCTTTATAATTTAATCTGTTATTCGGTTCATAGTTCTTGGAATCTTTGGCAACTTAAGTTTCTGATAAACTCCCAATATTCTCCTACTTCGATATTCTTTCTCTGGAACCGATGAAAACCTCTGCAGCATTCGTAAGAACTTTGATAGCTCGAACTTTCCACGAACTCTTAATTCGGGAAGGGTTTTATAATTCAGTCTATTATTCGATACATCGTTCTTGGAATCTTTGGAAACTTAAGCTTTCAAAAAACTCTCAATATTCATCTAGAAGTGATGAACGTCTCTACTGCGTTCTTAAGAACTTTGATAACTCGAACTTTCTATGACCTCTTAAGGTCTTCCGAGATTCTTCCCTTGTTGAAGCGCTGAGTTGTAGATAACTGAAAATCCCAGTTTAACCCAAAAATTCTTGGGCCCCCCTTAAATAAAACAAGGTTGTGTTAAGCAGCTGTTTTATAAAGAAATAAATTTGACATTTTCCCTGAAATTTATTAACTGTTAAATGTTGAATACCTTCACCTACATACATAAATAAATGTAATGCAATTGGCTCAGACAAAATACCTTAAGAATAGATATTTTTTGATTAAAATTTAACATTAAAATTCCTTAGATTAACTTAAAAGTAAAGAATTTATAACACAAAACGTTAAACCCCCCTTAACGCTTTAACTCTACATTAAAGCCCACTTCCTCATCGGTTTCTAAACCTATGTCAGCTATTAAAGCTTTCTTAGTTTTAGGATAACCCTCCATAATGGCATCCAACATATCGTTACACATACGTTTGCGCTTACGATAGGCCAAAGAGACATTTTCATATTTTGTAACGATTTTTTAACATCCTGAGAAGAAAGCTGTAAGAAATAAATTGTTAAATTAAAGAGAGAAATTATTATTTTTGAAATGATTACCTTATTTGGGTTTCTTGAGCCTGCAAACTTCTTAGCTTTTCATTTGTGTTCCTGATATCATCCAAAAGTTGATCTCTTTCCTCTTCCAAAGTAGCCAGACTTTTAACCTTATTTAAAGACTTCAACTTTGCTTCCAAATCGTTTAATTCTGATTCTTTGTTTTTGAGTATATTCTGAGCTTGTGAAAGCTTTTGTTTTAAAGTTTGCATTTGCTTTTTAAGCTAGAAATGAATTAAATTTTAAGAAATTAAGTAAATATTTCAAAAACTTTGATCTTACCTCTTGATTATTAACATTTTGTTTAGCATAATAGATTTTATGTTTGCCATAGGTTTTGGCCAACAAAATTTCCTTGCTAACCAATGAATCCAAAGCTCTGAAATCGTAAACATAATTCTAAATTTGAAAATTTCTAATTTAAGTAAAAAAATCCTTTACAAACTAACTTTTGTATGGCAGCTTTGCCCAATTCCTTGCCACATTTTTCCAACACCTCATTGACAGCATAAGGTCGATTCTGTCGCAGCATAAATTCCTGCACAGTTTTCAAAATCTCTGTTTTTGACATCTAAATTATTAAATATATTGTTTACTTCTCAGCTTAATGAATTAATTATATCTTCTTAATAAAAAAAAACTTTTATAATTATCTTACCGCTCACGTGTTTTCTGTCAAACATGTGTTCTTTTCCATGCTTTCATGTTAAAGTCTTATTAGCATATTTTTCTTAATAACGGTTATAGAACTTGTTAGGGCAATTTTTTAATAAACTAATTACGCTACATTTATTTAATATGCATAATATGGAGCAACAGAGTGTGATTGACAAATCTAAAATTAATGTTAATATAACAAGTGGCAACGCCTGGACCAGTATGATCTACATATTATAAATTTATTAAATGATTTATTTAAATAATTGTTAAATAAAAATAAAGTTAGTCTGGCACTAAAACAAGAGATTAGTTGGATGTGGAGAGAAGGAACTAAATAATTTGTTATTACAACAATATTTTACTAAATAATGGGTCTGTTAGTTTGACAGGTATAATTAATAAGAGTTAATAACGCACCAAACAAGCCTTGACCCGTGCCGCAGCCACGATATAGACTAAGAATGACGGAATTACAATGTAAAAAAAAAAACTGTCAAAACTTTAGTTAGTTAGTCAATCGGTCAGTTAAATAGGTTTTGAATTAGTTAGATAGATAGATAGATAGATAGATAGATAGATAGATAGATAGATAGATCGATAGATAGATAGATAGATCGATAGATAGATGATAGATAGTTAGCTAGATAGATAGATAGATAGATAGATCGATCGATAGATAGCTCGATAGCTAGATCGCTCGATCGCTCGATCGATCGCTCGCTCGCTAGCTCGCTCGCTCGCTCGCTCGATCGCTCTCGCTCGCTCGCTTCGCTCGCTCGCTCGCTTCGCTCGCTCGCTCTCGTGCTCGCTCGCTCGCTCGCTCGCTCGCTCGCTCGCTCGCTCGCTCGCTCGCTCGCTCGCTCGCTCGCTCGCTCGCTCGCTCGCTCGCTCGCTCGCGCTCGCTCGCTCGCTCGCTCGCTCGCTCGCTCGCTCGCTCGCTCGCTCGCTCGCTCGCTCTCTCGCTTCGCTCGCTCGCTCGCTCGCTCGCTCGCTCGCTCGCTCGCTCGCTCGCTCTCGCTCGCTCGCTCGCTCGCTCGCTCGCTCGCTCGCTCGATCGCTCGCTCGCTCGCTCTCGCTCGCTCGCTCGCTCGCTCGCATCGCTTCGCTCCTCGCTCGCTCGCTCTCGCTACGCTCGCTCGCTCCTCGCTCCTGCTCGCTCCGCTCGCTCGCTCGCTCGCTCGCTCTCGCTCTACTCGACATACGCAGCTACCGGCATCGAACTCGCCTCGCTCGCTCCTCCTCGCTCGCTCGCTCGCCTCGCTCGACTCGCTCGCTCGCTCGCTCTCGCTCGCTCGCTCGCTCGCTCGCTCGCTACGCTCGTCGCTCGCTCGCTTGCGACCTCGCTTCGCTCGCTCGCTCGCTCCTCGCTCGCTCGCTCTCGCTCGCTCGCTCGCTCGCTCGCTGCTCGCTCGCTACGCCTCGCTCGCTCGCTCGCAGCTCGCTCGCTGCTGCTCTCGCTCGCTTCGCTCGCTCGCTCGCTCGTCGCTCGCTCGCTCGCGTCGCTCGCTCGCTAGCTCGCGCGATCGCTCGCTCGCTCGCTTCGCTCCGACTTCGCTCGCTCGCTCCCTCGCTCGCGCGCTAGCTCGCTCAGCTCGCCTCGCTCGCTCAGCTCGCTCCCTGGGGGGGCGCTCGCTCCTCGCTCGCTCGCTCGCTCGCTCTCCTCGCTCGCTCGCTCGCTCGTCGTCGCTCGCTCGCTCGCTCGCTCGCTCGCGCTCGCTCGCTCGCTCGCTCGCTCGCTCGCTCGCTCGCTCGCTCGCTCGCTCGCTCGCTCGCTCTCTCGCTCGCTCGCTCGCTCGCTCTCTCGCTCGCTCGCTCGCTCGCTCGCTCGCTCGCTCGCTCGCTCGCTCGCTCGCTCGCTCGCTCGCTCGCTCGCTCGCTCGCTCGCTCGCTCGCTCGCTCGCTCGCTCGCTCGCTCGCTCGCTCGCTCGCTCGCTCGCTCTCGCTCGCTCGCTCGCTCGCTCGCTCGCTCGCTCGCTCGCTCGCTCGCTCGCTCGCTCGCTCGCTCGCTCGCTCGCTCGCTCGCTCGCTCGCTCGCTCGCTCGCTCGCTCGCTGCTCGCTCGCTCGCTCGCTCGCTCGCTCGCTCGCTCGCTCGCTCGCTCGCTCGCTCGCTCGCTCGCTCGCTCGCTCGCTCGCTCGCTCGCTCGCTCGCTCGCTCGCTCGCTCGCTCGTCCTCGCTCGCTCGCTCGCTCGTGCTCCTCGCTCGCTCGCTCGCTCTCGCTCGCTCGCTCGCTCGCTCGCTCGCTCGCTCGCTCGCTCGCTCGCTCGCTCGCTCGCTCGCTCGCTCGCTCGCTCGCTCGCTCGCTCGCTCGCTCGCTCGCTCGCTCGCTCTCGCTCGCTCGCTCGCTCGCTCGCTGCTCGCTCGCTCGCTCGCTCGCTCTCTCGCTCGCTCGCTCCTCGCTCGCTCGCTCGCTCTCTCGCTCGCTCGCTCGCTCGCTCGCTCGCTCGCTCTCGCTCGCTCGCTCGCTCGCTCGCTCGCTGCTCGCTCGCTCGCTCGCTCGCTC